TATGTATGTGTATATATATATGTTTTTTGTATGTGTATATATACAATTATATACATATATATATATGTATATGTATATATGTGTATATATGTATATATATATACTTATATACATATGTACATATATATATATATAGATGTATACACATAATATGTACATATATGTACATATGTGTATACACATGTATATATAAATGTATATAATGGAAAGGATATATGTATGTGTTTATATAAATTATATATATAATATGTATATATATATATATATCTATATATATATATATATCTATATATATACACATACACATACGTACATACAGACAGCACGCACTGGATGTCTTTGGCTGTAGCTGAGGTGTGAACGGCGCAGAGGGTCAGCCACGACCCTCCAGATTCGGATTCATTCTGAAGGCTCGCATACCGGTGAATGTAAGTGTAGCATTGTAGCCGTGTATGGATAAACACATAACCAGCATGCATTCATACGTACACATCTTTCTACATGCATGCGTATATACATTGGCATATGTGCATAACTACCTACCTGACTACCTACCTACCTACCTACCTACGCCACCCTTCCTATCCTAACCCTACCCTGCCGTACCCTACCCCACCTACATGCATACATAGATGCACACATACACGCCTGTGCATGCAGACATGCACCTACGTACATACATCTATACACACAGACACACACCCCCACATACATGCTTACCTACATACATGGCTGCGTGCATGGATGCATGCCTGCGTGCATGCGTGCATGCATGGATGCGTTATTAGCACACAGACACGGACAGGAACGCATACATGGCACACTAGCGCATATTTACATATCTGCAAATGCACGTACACAAATGTAATCTATATATATATATACACACACACACTCACACACATACACACACACACACACATATATATATATACTTGCTCTTACATGTGTATTTGCATTTATATTTATGTTTATGTTTCTATTTATATTTACATGTATATATATATATACACTTACATATACTTGTATACATCTTGCACGCATGAATCTTTGTAGATTTGCAGATGCATTCACGTACTTCCAACTTCCGTGTACATGCCTACTATGTGTATATATATATATATACATGTAGATCGTTTATGCACACACATAACGATGAGTAGATACACATGAATACACCTGTGTGTGAATTTTGGGCCAGACGGAGGTTTCTATTTTCGGCTTGGGATCCAACCTTAGTGTGCGATACAACAAGTTGGGCTTGGCTCGGTTTAAGCTTGCGGACTGGGGCGGTTTGAGAATTCCCTGCAGGTGACCGAAATTCCAGACTGTCTGGCGGATAATTTCCGATGGTATTGGCCACTGCCTCAATTTGGAGTTTCAGACCTGTGAAGTCTGTGAGTAAAGCGTCTCGAGAAGCGACCCTGTCGCAATTCCTATGAGGAGTCGTTTACTCACCGGACACTCCCGAACGTCAGTGCCGCACGATTTAGGGCCACTGGCTTGCGTTGTGCGGATCAATGAAGAAAGCATGGCATTAGGCTTCAGACCAACTCATACAGGGATTTGAACAGCTGTGATGACATTCCACTGCAACCCAACAAAGCCTAATCTAATTCGTGAGCCCCTACTATCTTCCGTCATCCTCTAGTCACAGTGACACGACAGTATGGCTTGGATCGGGGGGCAGCTCAGCTGTCAGACATTCTCGACTGCGTCCCCAAGGCCCAAGCCCGGCACCGAAAAAGCCCTAAGAACCAGGGCTTATGGTTCAGGGAACCATCGAGTTTGCATGCCAGTTTCCTGGGTTACCGTAAATAATAGTCCTTGAATGAGGGGACTTGGGGGGATTCTGTGAGAGTTTGGGAGTTAAAGCTGCATAGGAGCCTTGTAAGGGAGCTCTCTGCACGAGTTGAAGAGGTTAAGGATGCAAGTGCTTTTGGCTTTGGCGAGTTGAGTGCCTGTTTTGGCGCTTGCAGCTTGAGCGACAGAGCCCTGCAGCACACGGCCGAATCCCTAAATCCAGAAAATAACCGCAGACCTCTAATGACCTAAACCTTCAGTCCCAGAGAAGCCTCAGAACCCTTATCGAGCCCTGACAAGAGCCCCTCTTAGAGAAACCCTGAACCCGCACTTAAAACGCCTTCCTTTCGCAGAATCCTTACATAAAACCCTTTCAAAAGGAATCCTGGGGCAGCAGTTGCTCTCAGGTTTCTGCTGGCGGGCCAGGCCGGACTCATGGCCGCTGTCCCAGCGGATATTCTTCGCTTTTTCCACGACAGAGACAAGTCCTTTTCCAATTAAAGGTCGGTAGAAAGGTTTGGGGTTCGGCCTTTGGGCACCTCCCGGGTTTCCATCATCCCAAGTACCGAGGTGCGTGAGATCATTGTCATTCAGATGCTCAATGGATGGTACTGGGAGGCCACGGGGGTTCGGGCGCGAGCTCTGGTCTGATTCGAGAGCTCCAGCATCACTCGAGCAGCAGTCGGCGTCGTCGCAGGAGCAACTTCAGCGGCAGCCGGTGGCTGTGGTGGTAGTGCTAGTAGCGGCAGCAGCAGCAGTAGAAGCAGGCACCAGTAGTCTCAGTAGAGTGCTAAGTCGTCACTTCATCAGCAGTTGAGCAACTTCAACAACATCATCACCTCCACAGTTCTGTTCCACACAAACACGAACACTGATGAAGCCAGGGTGAACCACATCGTCACATGGTCTCGCATGTTGGCCACTTGTTTGTCTTCCGCACGACGAACGAGTCTTTTGTCGCATAGGCCATGGGACAGCCAGCACACTCGTTTTCTGCACCTTTGCAGGTTTGTGCGGCAAACTTAGCTATGTGGATTGTCATCACCCTTATAGCTCCGGCCTCGGCACATGCTCTCGTCGCTTGTATTCCGCAAGCCTAAACCTCAAATCCGATCCCGTACACCCCAACCCCCCCAATCTAGGGTGTTGTCACACTGGCGTGGGGATCTGAATTACTGATGCATACTATTCCTGTGTGTTCCCTAACGTGTTAGAGCGTAAAACTTACCAAACCAAGCCTGCAGTCGAATTATTCGGGCCCCTGTACTAAGCCGGCAACCAGTGCTTGATCTGCTCTCCAAACATAGCGCATCAAAATGCTGTTGAAAGCCTGAAGCAACACTTTAAACACTCTTATACGGCTACTGCCCCAAGGTCCGCCAGGTTTGGCTGTTTTCCAGAGTCAGGAACAAGTCGCCCAGGGCAGTAGACCAGGCCCAAGTTTTCGATGAAGCCGTTGTTGTGCTGTTGCTCTGACTCTAATCATGGGCTGTATAGGGGGTTTAGATGGTTTTGAAAAGTCTGGGTGCTTTTATGCGGCTGCACCTAGGTTATAAGAGGGTTTCTTTGAAAGGATTGTTTGGGTTGTGTTTGAGCGTTGGGACTAGATTTTTTTTTTCTGGGTGTTATGGGGGTTAAGAGTTTTAGATTCTAGAACTCATGTGGGGTTCGGGAGGGTGTAGGAATTGCGGGTCCTAAGCCTGTGCCTGGAGCCTGAATTGTAGGAGTTCTTCATAGGCTATTCAGCTATTCCATGGTTAGGATAGTGTTAGGATGTTATCACAGAATACTGTAATGTAACGGATAGACGGCGGACAGAGTGCAAGGATGGCAAGGGTTTGTCGGGCAATGGGGTCTAGGGTAGTGGTTTGCGGCATGCAGTCAAAGTGGTATCAAGTTATTCGCACTTGGGGTTTGGAGATCCGTGACAGCGGGTTGCAAGTAATTCGTCGGATAGCCAAGAGCGAAGGGGTACCTAGGATTTCGGGTTGCTGTGAAGACCAAAGCTTTAGCGCAAAGGATGCAGTCCGATGCTTTGCGAAGGAAGACGCAAACGATGCATAGTGCCACGCAGAATGGCAACTCGGGCAATCCCAGCCAGAATCCCGGACAGGCCAGAATCGAATGCAGCATGAAAGGGACATCCGGCTCCTCGGGTCCTGGTCACTAAAATCCTAAACCCCAAGATCTTAAACCCTGAAAAACTCACTTGCCGTGCCAGATACTGGACATGCTTCTCCTGCCGATCAACTATGGATTCCTATGTGCTTTGTGTGCAGGGAACCCAGACCGTTCTGCTGTTCGTGCCACCACATTTGGTGCTGGTTTGATGTCTAGTTTAAGACTGGTCGCCCTTCATGCAGGTTCGTATTCTGAAGTTGGAGAACACGGACCAGAACCGCACCATTGTGTCGGCGATGATTGACAGTGCTGACATTTGGGAGCCACGAGCTCAGTCCATGTTGGAAGTGTCAGCATCAGGACATACTGTGAGTAGGATGTGGAGCCTGTTCCCTAAGCCTCGAACTATGAAGCCGTAGACACGGTGCCATGCCTTTGAACTCCCATATCCAGCCAAACCCTGAGCATTCCTGAACCCCAGACCTGGCTCCCAGGTCCTGGGCGCTCTGGTCGGTTTTGAAGTTGTTCGCGGAGATCTCAGGGCCCTTATCGAGCCTAACATCGACTTGCATACAGGGGATCTCAGGTGAAGATTGTGGAGCATGCGAGCCAGCGTGTCGCGAACTTAGTGGGTTTTCCTTCTTGTGGCAGGGCTTCTGGACGGAGGGCTTGCCTCCAGATTGACTTTGTGGATCCCGGAGGTGGTTTCTCGGGAGAACGACTTTCGTCAAACCGCGCGGCCCCCTTCCCAGAACGTCTGCATAGTTTTATTGCACGTGTATTAACTCAGACGTGTGTGCTTTCTTCGGTGACAGGCAACGAGAGCGTACTTCGTCGACAATGATTGCCCCAGATGCCAGCACGGCCACGAGCAAGCACGAGGACGGATGCGCCCAGTGGTCGTGTAATGCTCTGAATATCTGATTTTAGGGTTCAGCGTGTTTCAATGGTCCTCGAAATTGTGATGTTAAGACTTCAGGGCCAGGAGTTCGCAGAGTTCAGAACTCAGTCTTGGTGCTTGCAGTTTGGTTTCAACTTACGTTTCTTTTACCGGACAAGGACAAGGACTTAATTAGCTTGCTTCTCAAAACCTTGGCAGGACGTGACGCCAGCTGCTCCAGGCACATGTCTGGAGCCTGTGACTGATGTATTGCTACTTAAATTTATGTTCTTATTGATGCCACTGCTGCTGCTGCTGCCGCCGCTGCTGCTGCTACTGGTGCTGCTGCTGCTGCTACTACTACTACCACCACCACCACCACCACCACCACTACTACTACTACTACTACTAGTATCATTGGTATTAGTATCATGAATTTTTTTGTTATTACTACTGTAAAACATTAGTGCATTTTAGTGCTATTTCATTTCTCTTGCATCTTCTTCTGCTTAGTAGTAGCAGCAGGAGGCGCAGTATGCTATGCTCTGCTGACACGGCTTGCAGGCCTCCTTCCGGGTGGTGAAGAGGTCGTCGGAGGCTGATTGGACGGAGATGGGAGATACCTGGCATTCTCCTTTCAAGAGCCTTCGCAACTGTGTGGCCGTAGCCGGCCGTGAGTTGAGACGGAGGTTTAAGTTGCAAGGGCATACAAGAACGCACAGCCCCCAACCAAATAACGGAAGCAAGCACCTGGGCTTTTGTGGATGCAGGCCTGATGCCGGCCGGTGAAGGTGAGCCTGCAGGTGGGCTGAGACCTGCGCTGAACAATTAGGATCCTGCCTGACCAGCCAGCGAGAATGGCTTCGTTTAGGGACCGGTGCGTTGCTCACTGGACACCAATGAGCAGCATCTCATTTTGTCCCGGCAGCTAAATTAACCTCAAGCTAAACTCACACTTGAGACCACATGAAGCCTTGGTGGTCAGGCCCCATGCCGGCTGGAGGAGACCCCTCGCCGACTGGCGAAGTCGCCGCAGGTGGGCACGGAGAGAGACTCCGCCGACACAGCGGCCAGATGAATGCATTAGGCCACTACAGGGCTTGGTGGCTTTAGCATTTGGTGGAAAGGGTTCAGGGGTTGGGGTCAGCATGGCGCACGAACTGTAGTACAGCACATGTTGTTGTTTGTAACCATGGGTTGAAATGCATCGATGACAGCTTCAGGGCTCGTGCCCCCCGGCGATGATGTCGACACAGGCATGTTCAGAAAGTCCCTCTTCGCTCCAGAGAATACTTCCATGTAGCTGCAGAAGTTTCATTTACAGAACGGGTTTGTAGGGTTTAGGTTCAGGGTTGTTGCGCTTTCCCGGCTGGCGAACAGAGTCCTGGATGCAAAAAGGTTCAGGGTGGCAGATGCCCTGTGAGGGTTGTTTGTTAGGTTGTTTGTTAGACTTAGCGGAAGATTTATTGGAACAGGAAACGGGAGCTTACCAGAATATGGGCATTGTGTGTGGCGAGTGAAGGCCTTGCACAAGCTGATGGGGAGGAGCTGGCGGCAGCACATGCAAGGACAGGAGGGAAGACATGGAGTACCCGAGTCATCAGTTTGCGCGGCGTCGGGTCTTTCGTTGAAAAGTGTAGGGCTGCGCCACCTTGTAACCCTACAGTGCCGAAGGACTGCAGGAGATCCTCGTCCATCGCCTCGTTCGAGGAATGAGGCTACAACCGTGACTTTGAGTAGACCCGGCAGGTGTAGAAACGCGTTTTTTTGCAAGGCGAATGCCCAACAGAGGTAAGATGTATTCATTTCTCATTACGCATGAGACGTCAGACGATGCAAATTAGGACTGTCGAACCATTCAATCGAATCGAGTCTATGCTGCCACTAAGTCATCCGTCATGCAACGGATCTGCTGAGATCAGTTGTGCCTTGCTCTTGCTTGTCCAACGCACCGTAGCTCCTGTCATCTAAGTGTTAGTTTGAAAGACGCTTTGTCTACGTCGTCAGAGCTGGTTCATTGTCTGTTTGGCTGCCAGGCAGTTAGCCAGTCAGTCAGTCAGCCAGTTAGTCATGCACCGTTTGTCTGGCTGGCTTGACACGCACCTACATTCCTACACGCCGTGCCCCCTGTCGCTGCCCCGAGTGCACTCGGAACAAAACATCTAAACCCCCCATGCAAGCCCCTAAACTCCACAAAGCCGTAAGGCCCTAAGCGAGAAGCCAGGTCAGGGATGGGCCCACGGATCGTCGGAGCATCTCCTGGCCGAGTCTTCGGCGCACGCAGCCTCGGCAAGGGAAGCGGAAGAACAGGCCTTGGTCCCAGGAGCCCGAGCTGAGCTCTTTCAGAGTCTTGAACATACGGTGTTTTTGGGGCTTCGTCTAGACTCTTTATATCTTATAATGGAACGACAGGGTATATACGGTTCATCTTTTCGGGGGCTGTCATGACAATTACTGCAAAAAAAGATACATAGGGATGAATGAGCCATTTTGAATACTGTTCGTGTTTGCTCCCAGGAGCCCGAGCTTTGCAGGGGGCGCAGCCAGCCTTTGGAGCTCAGCTCCGAGGAGGACTGCTGCGTAGTCCTCTTCCTTTCTTTCTTTGGTAAGGTCGTGCTGTTTTTTGGGGGACGGTCCGCAACAGTCCTACCCGGCTTGAAGGGTTTGGAACTCAACTACAACCTGTTTGGGCCAGGGGGCTCAGCAACTAGGACTTGAAGCTGACGCGTTCCAGAACGACCTCCATCCTGGAAGAGACAGCTGCGCAGCTGGAGGAGGCTCCAGGAAGCCCTCAGTTGAGCGTGGATGAGCAGGACTCCGGGAAGCCAAAAGTCCTTCAACCCTAGAAATCCGAAAACCTTGAACCTTAAGTCCGGAGGACTCCGGGAAGCAGGAGGGGAAGGAAGATCAAGAATCAGAGGCAGTCGACAAAGAGGCGACTCCCCTGTCCAGCGATGCAGAGCTCTTGCCGATGCTGTCGGATCAAGAACATCCCCAAGAAGCCGTCGTCGAGAGCGCCACAGAGCCGGAGGACACGGCGGGCAGGGCTCTTAGCTATGCAGCTATGCCTTTTGAAGAGCAGGGGTTACGGATCTGAAAAGCAAAATATCGTGAACAATGCAAAAGACGATGTGAAAGCCGGGACTGAGAATCAGTTTGGCCGCCAGGATTTTTGAGACTGTGATGATGTTTGATATCTGTTGTTGCTTCCGGAATCGATTATCCATCACAGAGGAGAAGCTCGATGCCTTAGTGCTTCCTCTACGGGATGTCGGCTGATGGCTGAAATCTTGCACCACGTCTCCTAGCGGTCTTAGCGACACTTCTCACACTTACGGTGCAGAATCCCGCACCCATCTTGCTATCCAGGTGATCCAAGAGCTTGGTCGTTAGAACACGTCTGTGTTCCAGGCTTCCCATGACAAATGTAAAAAATCTTGTGGGGTTGTGACCAGACGCACTGTTCAGACTGTTCAGAGAACCGTGAAAGACTTGCCAAACTCCCAGACCCCACACTCCTGCAGCCTCTACTGATCAGCCAGAGGCCATCCTGGACCGATGGGCACTGGCCAGCCAGCAGTGGGGAGGTTCGGAGTTTAGGTTTCGCTACGAGGTTTGTGCAGCCAACATTAGGCTGCATTCACTAGGGATGGGCACGGGTTGCTTAGACGATGCCCTAAATCCCACAGCCCGAAACCTAAACCGTTGAATCGAACTACGAGGAGCCTTGCCTGCCTGGTGCGAGTGTGAGAGTCGAAACCGTTGAACCCTAAATGCACCCTAAACTCAACCCCTGACCCTAGAACCGAAACCCAATCCTCCACGCACTTCAAGTGCACCCCCGCTACGGCCAGTGATGACCGGGATAGCTTCGGTGCGTCCCATCAGCACTACTACTCGGGAGTTTCAGATCAAGGAACCAGAGCAGCGTAAGATCCCTATATTCTCATTGTCAGGATTCCCCGAAACAGGGACCCATAAGTTTCCGAGAACCCTCTGTGGGATTCTCTCATGCCTCTGTTTACAATCCTACCACTAACGGCCGGATTTCTCCACTAACACAATCGGTCCGCCATTCCAGGATTAATCGAACTGTCTAGGGCCTTTCAGGATACCCTGTGCAGGCTCTGATGGATAAGGGTACTTCGAACCCATCTTTCCAACGAGCATTGCCTGGCGTTCAGCAGCGCTTGCTGTCAGATTATATCACAGTTTCCAGCGCAATCCATGTGATGTTTCAGTGCGAACCTTGCCATGACCGTCGCTGCAATGATCCCATAATCTTAGCTGAGTCCAGTGAATGCTGAGGCTTATAAACTCGCCTCAACCCCCACCCCTAAACCGTAAAACCCTACAGCCTTACTCCAAGATGTGGTGGCCGACAGGTCAACGACACCATCTCCACATGTTGGCCCAACCGTCATGGTTTGCGGTTTGGAGCGCAGGTTTGAGAGGATTGTCGCCTCGAGCGGAAAAGTATAATTGGAGCGATGGCGGTAGCCGTAGCCATAGCCAGTCTACTTCAGCAAGGCCAACAAGCAACGCCCAGAAGCGCAGCAATCGCCGTCATCATCATCAGCGTCACCAACACATCGACAGCCACAAAACTAAGCTTGCTGAACGCCAATTCATCACTACCACCTTGATCATATTGATGTCCACCATGGCCAGCATCATGGTCAGCATCGGGATCAACGTCACCATGGTCATCATCAGCAGCAGCAGCAGCATCATCATCATCATCATCTTCTACATCGTCATCGATCATCATCGCCATCGTCATCATCACCACCATCATCATCATCACCATCACAAGCAGCAGCACCGTCAATGGTGTTCTCCATGTCCACCAGATGCGGCAACCGCATCCTCAGTGGCACTCATGACGATCAGAATGTAGAAGCCTACATTATCAGGACCTGGCAGCAGTGCGCCACTTTGCCAGGAGGCACCTTTGTGGGTTAAGGGCCAAGGGGTTCGGGTAGAGTTGCGGTTGAGGGAAGTCATGTCAGGGGTTGAGGTTCAGGGTCGAGGATTTCGGGTTGAGGTGTTGGGTGTTTTGGGGTTTTTGGGTTCTTGCGCGCGGGGGCTCTCAGCTTCCAAGCTCCTGCCATCTTGGGGCTTTCGGGGCAGATTTCAGCTGTAACCTCTTGGGTCTGAGGTGGGGTCACAGATGAGCCGAACTGAAATCCTATTTATCATCTACTTGCGACGCCTCCCTTAGATGGCTCATCACTGGAGCCGGAGTTCTTCCACCCATTCCCAGACCTCGAAGCCGGGGGCATCCTTACCCAAGAGGTCCTATGTACTTAAAATCGTAGAAAGCAAGGTTTCTATAATAGGACTTGCTATTATGATTTGGGAAAGTATGTAAGTACTTAGGATCGGTCCGCCGCCCACTCAGACCCGGCTTTAGAAGCACACGCTCTGTCAAAGCAAAGGAGCAAAGGCCCGACTTATGGTTTGAGGATTCGGACGCTAGGGTCAGTTTGGGGCGTACATATGAGTTTAGGGTTCCGGGTTTGGGGTTCCATGGCTTGATCACCATGATTCAATGATAGCGGCAGCGATGCATATGGTGCTGAAGCTGGTACTGATGCGACCGCTCTCTCAGAATTTCAACGGGGTTTTACAGGGTTTCGAAGCGAGGTTTTGGTACTGGTGCGGACTTCTTTATGATGACTATGTGTTCCATGCGTCACCGGTGTACAACTTGAGTGCTTGAGGATAGACTCGACCCTAAGCTGTTTTTAGGCTCTTAGGAGGTAACAGCCATGCAGGAGTACCCAAACAAAAAAACATAAGGGCCCAAGAAGAGCCCTAGAAAGCCCTGTACCTCTGTCCTTGTGTGCAGAAGGCGCCGTTTCCGCAGGCAGCAGCAGCTTCGGAAGCCCTTGCCGCCGAGGCAGTTTTAGCTGGGCAGCGACAGATTAGCGCTTCAGGTTTCTTCTGGACAAGGCTTCCAGTGCTTTCGCGTTTAGGTTTTATTTCGGGGTTTTCATCGTCAGCCTCCAGCTCTTCATCTTGTAATGGCCAGCAGAAGCAGCAAGGTGGCAAAGACGACAGAGTGTTGCAGGTACTGCTAAGCAGGATCGTACTAGCTACAGTCAGCTACAGCGAGTTCGACTCCGTGTCTGATGTGGTCGCTGACGTATCGCTGCACTTCATGCAAATGTTGCGAGCTGCGCTGCACTCGCATTCTGAAATTGGCGCTCTTGCCAGTCACATCCCGTAGCAGGTCGACCAGGAGAGCGGCTAGTGTAGCAGGCGATGCTGGCCCAGAGTCTATAGACCCGACCTGCCCAATCCTGGACCGCCCACCAAAGCCCTCAAATCTTTGTTCATCTTTTTGCATCAGGATGCAGACAAGCAAATGCCTGTCCCCATTTCACCCGACTCATCTGGCGTGCGACGTCCGTGCCTCTGGCCTGGGGTTTTGTAGCTCCACACTGCTACAGGAATCTGGCCACTTATGTCGATGCGGCATTTCGAAGGGCGTGACACCTAATGCAGGCCTTACGTTCAGAATGATCTTCATTCTAAACAGGCCTGGGGTAATTTTCACAAACACCGTCATGTGACATGCAGGTGTATACAGATCTAGAATGTAGACGTTTGCAACACCTATGAGTGTGGTCGGATGTCGGGTGTTAAGATTTCGGGTTGTCCAAACATATCTAGAGCCTAAACGAGATGCTGCTGTGCGGAGGGGTGTAA